TCGATGCTTGCCTGAACCCTAGCCCTAGAGCAGCGAGGAGCAAAAGAGAAAGAGGAACGAAAAAGATTTTTGGGGGCAAATTGAAGAATATGATAATAAGAGGGTAAAATAGAAATTATCATATTATTAAAAAGTGTATGTGCATAGTCGGTAAAGCTTGTAACCAATTTGATTGAGACACGTGTCACTCGATTTTTCCTTTTGTAAAGAAAAATTATAAATCATCATCTTTTTCTCCGAGGTCGGTCTCGTGTTCATATACTCATAGACATTTTTTCTCACCGGCGATATTTAAATTAAAACCCTAAATTCTCACCGGCGATCAATATTTGCCACATTGGGTTCGTGAATAATGGTAAAATTTCCCATCTTTCTTCGGTTTTTGGTCTGATTTTAGTTTAATTTTAGAACTTTTTGTGATCTTTGATTTACTTGAGAGATGCTTGGATTCGAAGTTCTTACTCGTTAAATTCTGTTTCTTTTTGGAACATTATTTATAAATACTAATGGATCTGAATTACATATGATTCGGTACGGACTAAACAAATTGTTTTGGTAATGCAATGAACAAACTTTTGTTTTTTCTTGAATTGTTTGTGATTGATCAAGATTGTGAATTTTTTTCATTTGATGGTATAGAAACCATATTTTAAATGTTTTCTAATCGTTCGTATACCAATTGCAGGTGGGGAAATCAGTTAAATTACCCTCGAAAAACTTTAGTCAAGCTTTAGTATCTAAGTCATTGGCTAGAAACCTTGAAGTCTGCGGCAACAAAGGTAAAAATTGCAAAGATTTCTATGAATTGTTTATGTTTATGATGATTACGCGGTAGGGTATGTGTTACGGTAAATACTTAAACGATGATGTGATTTGCATTTCAGGAGTTTCTCCTTCTCGAAAGTGTGATGATGATTTTGCAGAGGACTTATCTGATATCAGTGATGCTGAGGTAAAAAGATTATGCCTTGCCTTAATGTTTTGAATTGATGCTTATTGTAGCTCATGTATTTTCACACATGTATTCAAACCATAAACATATCTTTAAGTTTAGTCTCTAATTTGAATCCAATCTATGGTTTTTAGTCTCTGTAACCCAACAATTGTTCCTGGATAATGGTGAAGCCAGCTGTTGTTAACATGTAAGTCCATACCGTGTTAGTTTTTCACTTAATTCCGACCATATAACCTAGTCAAAAACTATTTTTTTCTTGTGTTTGTGTTCCATCTTCTCTGCTCTATAAAATGTTTGATCATCTATGTAAAAGTTCTGAACAAAAACAGTATGTACCCTTGTTCTGATTTTGATGGTTAATGCTGCTCCTCAGGTTGCTGTTCATCTAAATCTTAAAAAGGAAATCCTTCTGAAGAAAATAGCATGGGAACTGATGAATCCTGAATACCAAAAGGTTTTTCACTTTTTACCAGTCTTTGATCTTCGTAATTTCTGCTAACTGAACATTGATGTTCTTGCTAATGATCTTTCATTTTGTATCGTTTATCAGGGAAAGCAGAGGAAACCGACCACTGGGAAAAAGAAAGATCCCACTAATAAGACTGTTCCGAGTAAGAAAACTTCCGCAGTCAGAACCGAAAGCAAAGCAGAAAGTGAAAATAAAAAGGTCAGCGATATTATACCTTCAGCTCGCTCGCTCTCTCTGACACAGTGTCTAGATGGTTTCATGTTATAAAGAGATTGCACTTTTTTCTTTTCTATATCTCTGGATATTCCTTATTGACTGACATATATTCCCTTGCTTGTCTGATCTTCATACAGAGGCCGAGTTTGCAAATAAATTATGATGTCCTGGATGAGCTATTTGATGCTGTAAGTTTATCCCTGATCCCACCGTTCTGTCTCTTTATCAACTACCCGCTTTCCATTCGTAAAATATTTTTTATATAGAATCCAAACTATACTTCTTGGTGATAGAATAGACGCCTTTTTTCTTTGTCTAGTCTCTTATGTCCATGTATTCACATCTTTATAGGAAAACTCTCCAAAGAGAGCTAAGTTACAGAAACCAGTTGTTGTAGGTGACCACGTGCAATATTCAGAGGAAACCAGTGAAGAAAGCCCTTTGAAACCTCAGGAGTCTGAAGAAGAAGAAGAACCAGATTGGAACGAGGATTACAGTAATGAAGATACGTATGACCGTGAAATTGAAGATCAAGATATAGAAGAAGCAGATGAAGGGATAATTTGGTGATCTCATCCTACATTGTGAAGTGATCTCAACATTGAATGTGATCTCAACACTGAATGTTTTTTTTTTCAAATCTATAGTGATCTATGATGAAGAGCTAGAATCTCCTTATTATTCACATTGCTTGTTCTATGATGAAGAGCTAGAATCTGGAACGTTTAGCTTCATCTGAATCTCGTTCTCTGGATTATCGCGTAGTTCCTTGAGTCTATTCACCACGTTTTGAGCTAGATCTTCATAAGCTTTTGATACTACAGAACCAGGTGAAGAAACAACCACAGGAACACCTTCATCAGAACCTTCTCTGATTTTCACTTCCAGTGGAATCTATAAAAATGACCGATAATATTTATCTTGTAAGGTGACGGAGCGAATCCACAAGACTATAACGCAAAAAAGAACAACATCAGTTTTGGCTTTAGATTATTTACCTCACCGATGAGTTTCAAACCCTTCTTTGTAGCCATCCGGCGTGCTCCTTCTTTCCCAAATATGAAAGAAGCTTCGTTACAGTGAGGACAAATGAAACAACTCATGTTCTCCACAAGTCCCAAGATCTATAGTATAAAAATGCCTAAAGGTTAAGCAGCTAAGAAGAAATATATGTTTCCAATCAAGCAAAAATAGTGAGGGATATATCTGATCGTACAGGTACTCTAACTTTATCGAACATGGAAATTCCTCGGTTAGCATCAGCAAGCGCAACATCTTGTGGAGTTGATACAATTACAGCACCTGAAAAAACACAACCACACTCCGATAACTACACAATTTGTCTAATCAAACACAACTAGATAAAGCGACAACGAGATATTTATCTATATATACCCGAGAGTTTCAGATTTTGGGATATGGTAATTTGAGCATCACCAGTTCCAGGAGGCATATCGACAACAAGAATATCGAGAATTCCCCAATCAACTCCTCTTGTCATCTTAGCAAGAGCACTCATTACCTGTAACAACACCACAATCTTGATTACCAAACAAAAAGTTTTAAGCTTCATTCTTAAACTATACAAAGGAACAAAAAAAAGAAACACACCATAGGACCTCTCCACACAATTGGTGCATCTTTATCTACAAGAAGTCCCATTGACATACATTTAACTCCATAGTTCTCAACTGGAAGCATCTTCATATCTTCAAACACAGAAATTACAGTAAAGTGCAATACACTAATCGAAATGCCAGAAGTAG